TCCACCGGCGGCTGGTGCTCTGGGCCAGCCCCAGCTCCATCCTCCCCGACCCCCATCCCGACCTCCCCGTGCAGCAGTTTCCATGTCACAGCCATGTCCTCAGGAAACGTCCCCTCCATGACGCAGCGCAGTGTCACCTCCTGCCCCAGCACGTACTGCGCTGGCCCCTGCACCTCGGAGACCGAGTAGGGGGCTTTCCTGCCTGGAGTCAGAGCAACAGCTGGGTCAGTTGGGTTGAAGGGCATGGGGGGCCAAGAGCTGCAGAGCAGAAGGGTGAAGGGATGGGGACCGCACCCTGCAGAGAGGTTCCTGTGGCCTCTGCTTTTTTCCTCTCCCTACAACCCCCAGCCTTGTCCCTGTTACCGTCCCGCCGCTTACTCCAGCAGTAAATGGCCATTGCAGCAGCTGCCACTGCCACCGCGATCCCCAGGGAGACTCCGATGATGGTGCCAGTGCGATCTGTGCCTGCCTCTTGCACTGAAGGGGAAGGAAAATCACAGCCCCATCAGGCTCTGCTCAGCAGGGGTGAATGGGAGGTGGGGGGAGGACAGTAGTGCAGTCACACCCTGCTTTCAACCCTCCTCCCCCAGGGTTTAGGCTTAACTGCCTGGGAGAGGCACACCATTTCCATGCAGGCAGCGCACAGGCCATGGCATTTCCATGCAGGCAGCGCTGAGACAGTGCATTGCCATCATGGCTGCTTGTCATCTCCCTGATTCCTGCTAATCTCTCTCCCCTCCACACATGTTAACAACCCTCTCTCCTTGTTAATGGTCTCAATGTGCCCCTATTCCAGCTCCCCTTTCTTCTGCAGCGCTGCAGCCTGCCAGGCACTCTTGGCCACTTCTCTGCTCTATCTTACAGCCCTGCAGACTGCTTTTACCTCTAGCTACAGCCTTATCTCAGGTGCAGTAATTCAGGGGTAGAAATAACTGCCAGTGAAGTACTGGAGGCACTGACAAGGCACTCCAGCAGGCTAGATTTTCCTTTATGAATCTGAATTGGAGACATAAATACATCTATAATTATGACAGCACTCATAATACAATAACCTTGCCTATTTTTTGGCCTAGTTTATTATGCTATTTAAAAATAGATAAAAACTGTAGCAAATGAGGGCACATTCCAATAGTTTTATATATATATTTTTTTGCTTTGTTCTTAAAGGGATCAGTATAGCACTCCCTCCAGCGTATTGGTAAAGCTTCTCATTTCTCTTTAACTGGAGAAGAAGCCGTGTTGGGTCTGTCATGAGAATGCGCTACGCCATCTGCACCCCGCCACCCCTCCCCTCCCATTCCCAAATCCTAGATCTGCCCACGTTTGCCCCCAGGGCTGACTGTAAGGCCCCACCTGTATCCTCACCTGCAACTTCCAAGGGGAACTCCTCTCGCAGGGGCTGCTCCAGAGCCAGGTGCTGGACGCGGCAGGAGAAGATGCTGCCAGCGTCGCTCCTGGCAGAAGTGAAAGTGTAGGTCAGGGTGAAGCTGAAGGTCCCATCGGGGTTTCTTTGCGGGACAGAAGGGGTGGTGTTGTTCAGGACCCGCCCATCTCGCAGCCATGCGACATCCACATCCTTGGGGTAGAAACCCCCCACGTGACATGGGAGGGAGACGATGGTACCAGCCACAGCAATGCGCTGGGGGACAGAGATGATGGGA